AGCTATCTGCACTATGAATAAAGCTAATGGTCCCAGTTTGGTCTGCAGGGAACTTTGCAGGATAGTTTATAAAGGAAAACATGAGTTTGCCTGCTTTATGTGGTAGACTTTTATGGACTCATGGTCCAGCCATAGGCTACTGACTTTTTATATATATATATATATTTCCCTCTTTTCATTTAAATAGCAATATAATTTCCTATAGGATGGAAAAATAAATAAATAAAACTTTTAACTTTAAGATAGCATATATTTATTTGGTAGTTGAAATATTTTACCCATTGATTTATATAAAATCAATCCATTGGTGCATGTAGAAAAGAGAAAGGAGTGAAAGTCAGTTGTCTGGGAACGTTTCTGGGGTTCTAAATTCTTAGGGCTTCAAGGTGAAATGAAAACATACATCGTTACAAAGTGAAAATTTAGAAACAACCCAAATATCTATCAATGAGTGAATAGATAAATAAATATATATAGCATAGTCCTAAAGGAATACAAGTCAGCAATGAAGAGGAATGAACTATTGATGCAACAAAAATGAATCTCAAAATACTCGTGCTAAGTGAAAAGAATACATACTGTATGATTCCATTTATGTAAAATTTTAAAAATTCAAACTATAGTGGCAGAAAGTAGATCATTAGTTGCATGGAAGCAAGAGTAAGCTTTTGGAAATGATTACCTTGCTTATAGTGACAGTTTCATGGATGTATATACCTAAGTCAAAACTCATCACATTGGATCCTTTAAATATGTGTAATTTTTTGTACATCAGTTTATACCTCAAGCTATTTTTAAAAAAATATATTTAGAGTATTTATTTAACCCTGTTGTGTTTGCTATAGCTAGAAATCTCAAAACTGAGCTAAGGGTACCTTGAATAAAGTGGCATTTTGTTGTTTGAATCCTTCCAAGTTCAGTTTAGGTGAATTCTTAGGTAAATTACTTTTAATCATGGTGCAAATGTAGGGTTGATGATAAATGTGTTTCCATAGCCTTCCGTGTTGTTGGATATCTCATTAGGCAACTTGGAATGATTTGCCTTCTTTATTCACATCTCTTAATCAGCTTTCTTTATAAATCTGAATAGTTGGGTCTGCAATGTGGACAGTTATTAAAGGAAGCAAAAAGTAAAATTTGGCAGCTTTGAATGAGCAAAGTGGGTAAAATCAAAAGTAGAAAAAAACAGAAGAGCACACATAACTGTTAGCTTTAATCTCATAAAACAGTTTTGAGAAAGTGGAAACTTTATCGACTTTGCTGGCCTTGCCATTAGTTTGAGGCCCTGTTTCACTCAGTCAAGAATTTGTCTTTGTGTTTCGGGCTGGGGACACCTTCAGGGCAGAAGAGCAGAGGAGGTGGGAAAAGTAGATGAGGATCATTATGTCCAACGTGAGCAGGACGCTCAGTAGAAGGGTGCCCAGGTTCCTCTAGTCCACATAATGCAGGAAAAAATGGGTGAGGTAGGCCTGCAGGGCCAGGCTGAAGACCGAAAAAGTTATAGAAACTGTGAAAATTATATCATTTATTCAGTTAATGTCAGTAATATAAAGTTTATTGCTAAATACATATTTTAAGAGCAATATAGATTCTTGAGAGTATTTGAAGTTAATGTCGTAAGCTCCAAAATGTCTATTCGTTAATTCACTGTGCCCTTAAGGAACAAAGATGAAATAATACATTATCATGTGATAAGTGCTATGATCTTACTACATATGCCCAGGGTGTTAGAGACATGACATCTTTTAATACAATCTCAATATGGAGATGGGATTTTCATGGAGAATTACCTGGAGAAGAAGATCGGCCAAGGCCAAAGATCATTAATTTACAGTGATTTTCCTTTAGCATTTTTCAGCAATCTCAATAAGGAAATTAAGCAAGTACATTTTAGCATTGATTCCAGGTTGGTGTTTACTGGATTGATATAAAATTATGTGTAGTAAAAGGTGCTTATGTATATCTCAAATGATCAGTGGCTAATTCAAGCTGGTAGGGAAGGATTTAAAAAAAAAGAAAAGGAAAACCAGGAAGAAGCAATAAATTGGAAGAATAAAAAGAGAGAGAGGTCTAGAATCTCTAAGATTAGAGGACTAGAAACATGGGAGTAAGCTCATGGAGGAAATGGAGTAGGAAGAAAAATGTGGTCAGAAAGTGGTATAAAAACACATGTAAGATTTCTGGGGTAGAAATTTCTAAGAGAGCCAGGTCCGGGATGTGACTTGAGTAGTTAATGATTGAAGTACAGTAACGAAGTGGTTAGCCTCGTTGCAATTTAAAGGACATCAGGCATCAAGGATGGGGTACTGCATGGATTTTGTGCATGGATGTTGACAGCTCCAGAGTGGCAAATATAGTTGGGATGAACGGAAGCATTGCCATCCTTGTCTCAAACACGAATTAAGATTTTAGAGGTAGTTTGGTTTCAAATAACAAGGTCTTGGTAGTTATGGGAGTGGATGATTGAAATAGGTGGAAATGAAGGTCGTTGGAATGCAGAAGGTCAAGAAGCTTTCGTATTTGAATGAATCACCCACTTTAATACTGAAGCATGTTAAGAGACATAGAGAATACTTTGGGTGGCAAGAGACTCTGAGCCAGGTTCCAGAATTATTCCACATGTAAATGGAGTAGCTAAGAAGTTGAGGAGTACAAGTAGCAATTAACTCCTGTGGCAAGCTGGTGAGCTCCTGGATCACTTCTCAAAATATTTTTTTGTTTTTAATGTATAGGATTATAAAGAGAAGGAATTTTATTGAAATACAATTATTAAATAAAAATTTATAATAGTAACATGCTTTATTAATCCATGCAAAAGAACTAGCAGTGTGTCTTGTTCCTGTGTGCCATTGAGTCAATTCTGACTCATAGTTACCCTATAGGGTAGGTCAGAACTTATTCAGAGGGTTTCATAGGCTGAAATACTTAACAGAAAGAAATCACCAAGCTTTTTCTCCCAAGTAGCCACTGGGTAGATTCAAACCATCAAACTTTTGGTTAGTAGCCAAGTGCTTAACCATTGCACCACTAAGGCTCCTTCACAATGGCTTATATAACTACTATAACATTGAAATAGTAATGAACATAAGTAATATTTCAAGATATTTGCAACAACTATAATATGATACTGCCTCGGAAACCCAAGGAGGGGTTGCTGTGAGTCGGGGCCGACTCGACGGCATATAACAACAACAACATAATAAGAAAATATCAAAGGAACAGTGAATACTTCTGATTTGTGACCTACTTTCATACTTGAGGAAAATGCTAAATTTCAGTTAGAGGGCAGTGAAAATTAAAGGTATAAATTATTTTCTCCTAAGTTTAGAGACCCCTGAATTCTTTTATGAGTCTCTCTAGGCAAGAAACTTTGGTTTAAAGGATGGTACAAGCTGTCGCCAAGTTACAAATGTCCAACTTGCATACAACCTATAGTTAATGAACCAGCCCCTGTAAAGCCTATTGTATTATAATTTTGAGGTACATGTAATGGTTTGTTCTGATGGCATAGTGGGTAAGGCATTTGGCTGCTATCCAGAAGGTCAGAGGTTCAAATCCACAAGCTGCTTTGCAAGAGGAAGATGAGGCAATCTACTTCCATGAAGACTTACAGCTTGGGAAACCCAGTGGTGGTCTCTGTGAGTCAGAACTGACTCGATGGCAGTGGGTTTTTGATTTTTGTTTTTAATGGTTTGTAGTAACAAACGGGTGCTACTTTATACTAAGACCAACGTTTGACTGGCGTTAGATACAAACTACCACCTGTTCCAATTTAGGTACTTATTCAGTTTAAAGATAGATACAGGAACAGAACTGATTTATAATCTGGGGACTGCCTGTAAAAGAAGAAGAAGACATAAACATAAATAAAAGAAGTAGATGAGAGAGAAATCATAGTCTAAAAGTGACAGTACAGAGCCACTACCTCTGGACCTAGTGGTGATAGTGGTGGTGGGAGTAAAGGAGGGGTGGTGGGAGTGTGCCTCAGTAAGCAGCCTTAGCTCAGGAAGCCTGCAGGGGAGTCAGTGAGCTTTGTGATGAGAAGCCGTATTTCAAGTCATACTAAAAAATTGGGGATGGGGCGCTGATGCTGTAGGAGAGAAACAACTCAAGAGGCACAGTGGAAATTCTTGGGAGGGAAGGGAAAGTGAAAGGAAGAGAAAGGACAGAGGAGTATGAAGGTGCCATAGGTCTGCCAGAGGAAGGTGAATTGGCCTGGAGGTGCCGCCGGGCAAATGCAGGCATAGGATGAGGCAAGCCGTCTGGAGCCATCAGGGTAGCAGCTACAGCATTTGCTCAGGTTTCCAGGTAGAATCCAGGGAGACAATTTTAAGTGCCCCTGAAAGAATTTTATCCCATTTTTAAATATTTTGATTAGAGTGGAGAGACTTTGGGTTTACGCTTTTACTTCTGGTGTCTTTTTTTTTTTTAACTGTTTCTCCCTGCTGGAAGATAGAACATATTCTGTCCAGCTCAAGATAGAAAAATATGAAGTCAAACTGAGACACTTGATAGCAGAGTGTAAAGTAATACCCTGGGATGGGGGATTGGTGTCTCCTAGTAAATCAGCAGATGCTGTTCTTCTACTCCTTTGTTTTTATTGCTGGTGCCAAACATACAAAACCATCTAAGGGTTGGTGAGTAAAATTATGCTTTAAGAAGAATTCTGATTAAAGACCATATACCATTCTACCACAAAGGAGGAGTTGGGAATGTCTGCTAGAGTAAGGAAAACAACAAAATGAAATTAAATGGTAAAGTATGTATGTTTTTGGATTACTATGACTAGATAAACTTTCAGTTTATGTAATTTAACTTTTAATCACTTGAAAATTAGAACTTTTTTTCTGACTGGGAAATATTTTAACTTTAAAATAGATGTTGATACTTCAACTTTGTATGTAAAACAGTTGCCTTAATGTCCATTTTATTTCTTTAAACTTAATACCATTTGGTAATCTGTACAATGATTCTGTTTGTGTTCATGTTTGTTTTTCTAGGAATTAGCTCTCCGTAGCCAGTTACCAACATTGGAACAGGATGGTGGGACTCAAAATCCAGTGTCTTCTCCAGGGATGTCACAGGAACTGAGAACAATGACAACCAATAGTTCAGATCCCTTTCTTAACAGGTTGGTGAGAGTTGCTACTGGCCAATAACTGCAAAAGATCACAGCATTAAGATCATTTTGCTAAGTACTTGTAATACTCTATTTTGAATACCTGTGTGGGCCAAAAACCATAGCTGTAAATGAATCTCTCCTTAAATGGCAACTACAATAAAAGTTGAGGATTAAAAGCTGTCTCCTGTGAGAGGAAGTGAGCTGTTCAGACTTGCAGAGGGGATTCTTACTCAAAGTCGCAACGTGTTTGCTTCTGCCTATACTGTTGACTAACAGTTACTTAAAATTACAGAATCATGAAGGAACATGTGAATGCCTTTCTGTGAAAGCAGATGAACCACATTCAAAACCTACTTAGGACTACATTGTAAAGATCATTGGCAGGAATTTTCCACATAGGTGTTCAACCTAAGAGGTTTCACTCCAGCAGCACTATAATAAGGCCATATGTTCTTAAAGGCTGTAGTTCAAGGAGATAAAATGTAAAGTTGTGCTTCTTTTAAAAAATGCATTAAGATTAATGGTTGTTGTAATTGTTGTTAATGGTAGTATTTGAAAATAACATAGCTTAAGGATGCTTTTGAATGAGTTACCACAAATCTTGGGTTTTAGGCAGATGGCAGAAATATTATTATATGTATAGTACTATGTTGAAAACTGCAAGCTGAAACAAGTCATATTCTTTGCCTAGAAACCGTTTAAAATTAAAATTTGACTAAAACTTTTTTTCTAGTTTGTGAAAGATATTTCAGTTTTTAAAAATATGAAGAAGTATTTTCTGGGTTTTGTGCTTTTTATTTTTGATCATTTTTAAACACACTTTTAAAAATATTTCTAATATTTTCATTTAGAAAAGCTATTAGACTGCCATTTTAGTTCTCATCAGTTAAACTGAAAGCTTTATGGTTCTGAGAAAAAATATCTTATCCTGCTAAATATATTTAATATAATAGAATTTCACATCATTTGCCCAGTCTTAAGATTAGTTCTGGTGGCCTAGTTGGGAGGTTTAGCTTTGAAAGCTTTCTTAAATTTATTTAAGTTTGTATTTAGTCTTCTGAAACACACACAGTTGAAAGTTCTGCCATAAATTGGGTAGATTTAAACAAGATTATAGTTCTGAACTTAAACTGAAGATTATTAGGAAAGTCACAGCACAGAAATTCTTTTTTCACAAGGAAAATTTTAGATCAATAGAATTCTAGTACCCTTTTTATTAAGGGTATATGTTGATCCAAGGAAAAGTAAACTGTTTAGAAAAATGGGTAGATTGCATATCCTTCTGACAGTCATTTGGTAAGACTTTTCCTTAAAATTTAAGATGAGAACTGGACTGCATTTTGAGAGTCTATTTTCTGGTAAGATTACAGAGTGACAGATAATCAGTGTGTTGTGGCTATTGTTCACCTCTGTGTCCTCAGAGATGGTTTAGTGCCTATCTTAAAGTAGCAGATACTCAATGAATGTCAAATGGTGGGGTCTGTAGGAGATGGGTTCTTCAAGGAGCAGTTATGGGTGAGGAAAATAGCCCTGCAGACTGTCCACAGAAATGCCTGTGTGTTCCCCCTATACTTGGAATGAACTCTGCACAACTCTGTAAAGTCATCTGTTCTTTGTGCCTGACGTGTACCCCATGCTTAGCAGTGGGAATGGAGTGATGACTAGGACCAGGCCCGTGGCCCAGATCAGGGCCAGCAAAATAAAAACAAACCACATCCTGAGGCCTTCTCAGACATGGCTTCATTGTATACAGATGGTCTCAGAGGCAGGTTTGTGTTTTCTTGAATCTGTGTGAGACTTTTGAATAAAACCAAAATCTGGCAGAAACATTAGAAGAAACCAGTGGTTGCAATGGAAAGAGTGAGGGGTGAGGGGAGAGAAGGCAAATTCATTGAGTAACTTTGGGAAGAAATTTGGGGCACTTAGCATTTAACTGAGCAATTGTTAAAGCTTGAGTCTATTTATTTAACTTCTGTATAAGTTGAACAGCTGCTTAAATGTCTAGTTTGGGGAAAGTTAAAGTTCATATTCACCTTCAGAGACCATTAAGAATAGCAATTGTCTTTTTCCAAACTTTCTTGTAAGATTTTCTAAAATTAGTAAAACATGAGAATTTTACAGTCAGTGCCAGCTGATGTCTGCGTGCTACTAGCTAAGGAATATTCTGTTGATGAAAGTAATATTCCAATGTTATTTACCATACCTGTACATAAATCTGAGAAACTTTTCATTTAGCCTGAAGTAAAACTCTGTCTTGGCTCATGTTTTTCCCTTTTATTCAAAAGATAAGCCTTGTAGTTTTGTTATGTTTTTTTCCATCTTCAACTTGAACTATAAGGCCTTTCTAATGATGAGGTGTTTGGGTCCACCACTCTTCCCTTTACTCCTCCAAATAAAAGCAAGGAGTTCTTAACTTATCATCAGTGACTGATCTGTTTTGGCCAGTCCAAAAGGAATCTTGGTTCTTTATTTGGGGTTGATTTCCCCTGGGCTTACATTTTCTGCACCAGAGCTAGGAATTCAGCACAAGTCTAGTGCAGGCCTGTCTCACCACCCACCTGGAGCTTATGTTTTGACCTCTGGTGCCTTTGCTTACCACCACTTGGGGAATTGAGGCCTTGAAGCTATGTGGATCCCACGAGATTCAAATGGTTTTACAGAGAGACTACCTATGCAGGTAATTTTCTGTCAGTTTGGGAAACTAAGTAGGTGTACCAGTAGAACATTTATCTTTTTTCCTTTATTGCCACCAAGCCCAGAATCTAAAGAGAGATCTTGGCCCCTTAAAGCTGCCAGCTTCAATTGGGATCAAGTTGTCTGTTCACTTCATAGCACATGGACTTTGTATGGGCTGTGAAGAAGGGTGCCTGTTTCAGATGCATTTTCAGAAGAATTTTCTCTTTTAATTATGCCAGTGCTCAATAGGTGTTTATTTTATCTTGAATTGATTTTTAAAAAAATTTTTTATCAGTCTTTAACTGTCATTCTTTACAGTGGCACCTATCACTCTCGAGATGAGAGTACAGACAGTGGCCTAAGCATGAGCAGCTACAGTGTCCCCCGGACCCCAGATGATTTCCTGAACAGTGTTGATGAAATGGATACAGGTTGGTACTCTTCATTCCTGTTAGTAACCTGACCTTCTGTCAGAAATAGTCCTATCATCTCCAGATCTAATAAGCCATTGCTAAAAAAGATTATCTATTATTATTATTCATTATTATTAAGATTATTAGTTCAGATTGAGCTAGCATTGTTTTTATATGGTGATTTATAATTGAAATATTTTCTCTGTTTTTAACTGTCATAAATATCTCTATTTGAAAAAAAAAAAAACTAACGACATGACTTATTTTAGCATGTACAGTACTGAGTTAAATTGGCTAAGCAATTGGAGATCCTATTCTTAGTCTTGGAGAGAGAATTCTGTATGTGATTCAGTGCCTGCCTCTCTTTTCTCTGAAGACTTTTGGTCCAACTAAGGTTTTATGGGGCTCAGAAACCCAGGTGGGAGAGGCTGGCTGGTGGGGCTTTTACCTACTTTATTGTCTTGTAGGAACTAAAGAAATACCTGCCTCAGAGGTGTAATTAAGGAACCATTTTCCCTGTGGCTTACCTGGTGACCCTGCTTTACAGCTCTGTCAGAGTGCGTGACAACGGGGAAATGAAACCTGTTCTCTAGCTGGCTAATTCTTTAACTGTCAGCTTCTCTTCTGAAAGTGTTTGGCAAGGCTTTTGTATCTGAGCTCATCCAGCTGATGGCTTGGATACTTCCTCTCTGCTTATCTAAATCTTAATCATCCTTAGCAGCCACTTCAAATCCTTCTCTTTTACAAAACCTTTCCTTACTCCCTTATTTCTCTCTTCTCCAAACCCCTACAGCACTTAGTGGCTTAAGTTAGTTCTTCTGAAAGTATGCTCCGTTGAAGTTCTGTAGAGTATTAATGTTGTCATGTGCAGAAAGACTTCTGTGGCCAGGTAAGTTTGGAAAACCTGGAGACAAGGCTGTGAGGATTTACTTACTCAAGAATTCCTGGGAGACTTGTTTTGTTATTATGAATGTGGATCCCACAGAGTGGAAAAGAGTATTTTATTAACCCAATATTTCGTTTTATTTTAGCATTTCCCAAAAGTATAACTTAAGGGAAAGATTGGTGTATATCCTTTATTTATGGTGGTTGAAGTCTGCTTCTGTGTACTATACTTATTCTTTCCCCCTTTGCTACATGGAATCTTTTAAAGCATTTTTATTTTGTTCATGACCCACTTTGGTGTTCAGTACAAAAGCAGTCAGTCTGTTGGTTGAATATCTGAACAAATGTTAAAGCAAAAGTAAACTTGGAGTTCTGGTTTGTTGTTTGTTTGTTTTTTTTTTTTTCCTTTAAACTTTGGGTTGTTTGGCTTAAAACAAACTCTGGGTATCAATTCAAGAAGTCTGTCAGTCAGGAGTGCTTTTCTTTCTTGTGATGCACCTCTGATGTTAACAGCCAAAACCAAATCCACTGCCATCGAGTAGATTTCTGACTCATAGCGACCCTACAGGACAGAGTTAGAACTGCCATGGCTGTAAATCTATAAGGAAGCAGACTGCCTCATCTTTCTCCTGTGCACTAGCTGGAGGGTTTGAACCACTGACCTGCTCGTTAGCAGCCAAAAGTTTTAACCACTGCACCCCCCAGAGCTCTTTACTCTGATGTTAGTTCTTTCACAAAGAGCCTCATAATCTCTCTCTGTTCCAACTAGGTGATACTATCAACCAAAGCACCCTACCCTCACAGCAGAACCGTTTCCCCGACTACCTTGAAGCCATTCCTGGGACAAATGTGGACCTTGGAACACTGGAAGGAGATGGAATGAACATAGAAGGAGAGGAGTTGATGCCAAGTCTGCAGGAAGCTTTGAGTTCTGACATCCTTAATGACATGGAATCTGTTTTGGCTGCCACCAAGCTAGATAAAGAAAGCTTTCTTACATGGTTATAGAGCCCTCAGGTAGACTGAATTCTAAATCTGTGAAGGATCTAAGGAGATAAGATGTATATACCTGAAATTTCCAAATAAGGCAGTTGCAATCTTCTGGCTCATACAGAAAAAGATGAACAAACGTCCAGCAAGATTCTCTCATCTACTATTTTGCTCTTCCTTGTCCATTGCTGCTGTTAATATATTGCTGACCTCTTTCACAGTTGGCTGTAAAGAATCAAAAAAAAAAAAAAAAACACCTTTTTTGTTTCTTTTGCTATTATAACTACTGTTCGTTTTGAGGGCTGGGGAAAGTGAGCCTGTTTGGATGATGGATGCCATTCCTTTTGCCCAGTTAGATGTTCAACGATCGTTTTAACTAAATACTCGGACTTGGAAGTCAAATGCTTCATGTCACAGCATTTAGTTTGTTCAAGCAATTGTTTCTTCAGCTGCCTTTGGTCAGTGGGAAAACATGACTTACTGGTCTTACAAGCCAAAAAATGTTGTATCTGATATTATGTACTTAATGCTGATTTGAAGAGATAGCTGAAACTAAGGCTGAAGACTGTTTTACTTTCAGTGTTTTTTTTCCTCCTAGTGCTATCATTAGTCACATAGTGACCTTGATTTTATTTTAGGAGCTCATAAGGCAAGAGACATTTTCCATAGAAATATATTAATTATTGCCACATACTCTAGTATAGGTCTTGTGTTTTTGTTTTTGTTTTGTTTTTTGTTTGGGTTGGTTGGTTTTGTCAGAACCTAGGCAAATTACCTTATTAGTGACCTTGTTTATAATTGTAGCTTGGAAAGGTTATTATAGTTCATTTGGTGAAATATACATTTTCTTATTTTTTACCATCTTATTTAAATCTTGATTTATCTGCTCTCTCTATATATATATACCCACACACACTTACAATGTTTATGATAGTGTGATAGCAGAGTATATCTTTTTTTTAGGTTTTCCTACTTTTCAGTTTATTTTAAAATGGTAGCTTTGAATGTATGCATTAAGAATACATGACTAGTTTATATTTCACAGATAGTTTAAATCTGGTTGGGGCAGTCTGTGGGTGTTTGAGGTAGTTTAGTGTTCTAGAGAAGGCTGTTATTATGGATAGTGCCTAGAGCAGCACTGCATACCCTCTGGGCATATAATAAATACCTGATGAATTTGATAGGAGCACACAAAAAAATGGCTTTATTTTCTCTTAGTTATTCCCTTGGACTAATTTTAAGTCTTGAGGTGAATAGGCTCATAATGTACATGACAGAAGTAAGCTCTATATAGTAGGTTACTTTCCTTTAGCTTTGGAAGTTTACCTTCGCTTAGCTTGGGAAGTAAAGTCTAGTGCTTTAGTTCTCATTTGTATTAAACGTGTTAAAGACTAGATTGGGAAATTGCCTACAAGATTGTTCTTTCTTGCAAGACTTGCTCCTACTTCTACATGCTGAAAATTGACCCTGGACAGTGTATAGAATCCTGTAAGGTTATGAATTAGCTGGTAAAGGATCAGATTAATAAATGTATATGGTAGTTGAATTTAGCAAAGAAATAGAGATAATCTTGATTATACCTTTATTTTTACAGGAAGAGATATAACTAGAGTATGTGTCTACAGGAGTAATAATGGTTTCCAAAGAGTATTTTTAAAGCAACAAAATGAGCATGAATCAACTCTTCAGGATAAGCTATAAAGTAGTAGTTGGTTGTGAATTACAGTGGCACCAGTTAACACCTCTAGGATTAAGGGTCTTTCAATGTTTCTAGGATAAGCCCTTATTTTCAAGGGTTTATAACAGACCTAAAATCTCTTTCCTGGCCAAAGCTGCTGAGAAAAGCCTCTGCTTGGGAAGAAAAATTTTTTTCTAATTAAAAAAAATCTAAGTATTTTGGCCCTTTGATTTAGAGGAGTGCAAAAGTTAAGATTAAGAAATTTTATATTAAATATTTTCAGTGCTCAAGAAATGCAGTCACTGTGTTGTATATAATGATTTATAGATTGACATTCATAATTGACTCTAAGGCTTTTATTAAGAAAACATCAAAGAGATTAAATCTTGAATTAAATCTGGAGGGGAAATGGCCACTGTGCAGAAGCATTGATTTTTAGAGCAATAAATAAATTCTACTTAGAAGGCATAGTTGAGTATATGGATGGTACAGCATGTTGTTGTTTTCATGTACAGAAGATCAAAGCTACTTGGTAGGAGCGCCTACAATTTGCTACTAAGCCACAGATTAAGATTGCATTTTATGTATAAGCAGAGTAGTTTTAGATTTGGGAGAGGGTGGGAAAGTAAAGGGGCTGTGAACACTTAGTGGGACCTTTATAGAATATAAGCTTATTTCTCTTCAATAAAGATTTGTCTTGCATCTTGCTGTCATTTGAAGGCAGTAGTTGTTCTAAAATTTCAATCACTTAAGTACACCTACAAAATAAGTATATGCATATTTTCATTTCCCCTTAACTTTAATTTGCCCAGTTATACCTCAATGTTGTAGCAGCACTGTGGTACCTGACACAGAGCTTTGATCTTACCACACCCTCTGTACTTACCTGAAGGAGATCCAAGAGTCCTTTCTCTTTTTGAGTTTGAATCACAGCCTTGATGTGGTCTTTCTTATTATGTCCTTGTTTCTAATGTCAAAGTGTTTAACTGCTTCTTGGTTGTATTGGGTAGCATTGGGATAAGACTTTAACTGGGTATTCTTGAATTGCTTTTACAATAAACCAATTTTATAATCTTTAAATTTATCAGCTTTTTATATTTGTGTTCTTTTCAGTTAAGGTTTCTTAGATCTGCTTATGGTTGAAGGAGCACATTGATTTGGAATTTCAGACCTCTCAATGCACTATTTGTTGTAATAAGTTTTTCTAAATTTAGTGCCTTTTTAAAAAAGACAAAATGAACATAAAGAAATGATCCTTTTAAAAAAAAAACAAATAACATTACTGTTTTAAGTATTCATAGTAAATAGATGCAGTCTATATAGAATCATGACAGAAAGATTGAAAAATACCAAGAATTAATTATGTAATTCAGAATTCATACCAATCAGTGTTAGAACTCAAGCAATGCAAAAACAAGAGGCAGTTTCCAGTGATTAACTATTTTGTAGCTTTTGCACATCTGACAAATGAGTGCTTAAATGAATTTTATCTTTGCAAGCATGTTTTTATATGAATTGTGGGTGTGCCTGTCTTAACAATTATTTTCTGTATCTTAAAAAAGTATTCTCCACATTTTAAATGTTTTATGTTAGAGAATTCTTTAATGCACACTTGTCAAATATATATATATATTTATATATATATATATATATATATACAGTACCAATGTTACCTTTTTTTTTTGTTTTAGATGTAAGAGCATGCTCATATGTTGGGTACTTACATAAATTGTTACATTAATTTTTCTTATGTAATACCTACCTTTTTGTTTATGTGGTTCAAATATATTCTTTAAACTCTTCTTCGTTGTTTTTAACAATTAATAATATTTTAAGACTTCTTTGTTTTTGTTTTTGTAGCTTATCAATGGTCTTCCAGTAGAACCAAGTACTAATAATAAAAGAAAAGGCTATTTCACTAGTAACTGGTAGCTAGATTAAACTTAAGGTCAGTTTACATAGTTAGGCATGACATTTGGAACTTTCGAAGTACAGATACAAGTCTTTATACTTTATCTTCTGTACTCTTCAGTTAGACTGTCCCCATCATTTGTAGTGTGAAAGCAGAATTTTGCCTCCTTTATTCTGAAATGACTTTAGCACATACAACAGCACAGAGAAAACTGAGAAGAATGTGGCACTGCCTTTCCAAAGAGCCTTTGGTTTTATTTCTCTAAAATATCCTCTCATTGTGTCTAAAATATAACATGGATATTAGTGAAAATAAAAACATTCACAAAGTAAGTGGTAGGACCTGAACTTTAAAAAAGAAGGAGATTTGATTGTCTTTGAAGATGATTTGTGTGCATGTTTATAAAATATTTACTGACACATCAGTTTTGTTGAGGCAGATCTGAAAGCTGTTTATATTTTGCTGTTTATAATTTCTTTAAAATTTTTTTATTGTGGTAAATACGTAACAAAATGTGATATTTCAGCAATCTTCACACGTGTAATTCAATGACATTGATCGGGTTCATCATGTGGTTCAACCATCACCCTAATCTGTTGCCAAATTATACTATGTGTAATGTCTTTACATTAGTAGAATGCTAATTTTGTGTAGCTTAAAGTTGATCATTTCCATTTTGTAGTGCATAATATAGTGGCCAGACACATTAGCTCAAAACCATATCCTGTGTCTACAGACAGGTGTTGCGCTAAAGGGTGGTGTACTTTTATGTCAGCAATGTAAGTCCAAGGAGCCCTGGAGGTCAAAGGTTAAGCACTCAGCCACTACACTACAGATTGGCAGTTCAAACCCACCCAGCAGTTCTGCTGGAGGAAGACCTGGTGATATATGCCCATAAAGATAACAGCTAAGAAAACTCTATGGGACAGTTATCCTTTGTCACATGGGGTGTGTCTTTCTGAGTTAGAATCAATTTTCTAGCACCCAATGACAACAGTAATGTGAGTCTGCCATTATTCTGGATCCTGTGGACTCGAATCGTACAGCCTTAGGTTAATTCTATAGTCTGATTATTTAGATTTGGATTATGGAAAAATAGCCTCTAAAGACAACAGGACAGAGGGTTCCAAATGTGTAAGAAGTATAGTAGTCATCATATTGTTGAGTGTGGTCAGTTAAACAGCAACTAACGATAACAGCATAGTCTTACTTAGAACCTGATGCTAATTTACATAATAGTTTTTTCTTAGAAAGACCCAAAATTAATTCAGTAAATGAATTGCCTAGCCAGAATAAACAGGAAAATGATCTGCCAGAGGAGAGAGCAATAACTAGTAATAAAAGGAAACCAAGGTGATTCCTAAGGAGTGGATTATGGATTTCCATCTTGGCATCTGGGGTTACAAAGGAACAGCATCCCCAAAGACCTCATCCCATTTTCTTACCTTCTAAAAATGGCAGCCAGACCCTCCCTGGTCCTTGGTAATCATCAGCTATACTAAATTCCTGGCGTTTTTGTGGGTAATTTGTCATCAGGTAGCTACATGTGCTTTCCTTTGTGCTCTAGGAGTTACTTACACTAGCGCCATTGGAATGGAGTATCTGGCACAGTGTCTGTTGTCCCTGTCCTACTTTGAGCTACAGGTATTTAGTCACTTTAATGTAGTCATGAGAAACTTCTGATGCAACAATCTTTTTCTATTAAAAGTTTATTGAATTGGAAGGGAAAGAGGGGATAATTTTGGACTTGGTGGGGGCCACACACTGAGTTAGGTAAGGGGAAGGGATGGTGTGGGAAGAGTCTGTGACCGGCATGATGGGGAAGGGAGGACACTGAATTATGCACATGAAGTACAAACAACAGAGGCTAATACCAGTACATCCACAATACTGCATTACCATTAACACCAACCACTAGGCTACAGATAAACACACAGACAACTGAGAAGCTCAGATGAGGGT